AGAGAGAGAGAGAGAGAGAGAGAGAGAGAGAGAGAGAGAGAGAGAGAGAGAGAGAGAGAGAGAGAGAGAGAGAGAGGTGGGGGGATGCAGAAATACGACAGACAATATCTTGGGTAAGAGATGGCAGGGGAAATCTTGCCATACAAAATCTCTCAATATTGTGGCCATCATGTTATAAATCTGGAAACAGGGAACATAATTAGGAGAATCACTCTGAGTGAGACTATCAGTGAGATAATCCAAAACAGATGGAACAGAGATGACAATGAGACTTCTTCGACTGAAAAACTTGTCGTCCGGGGGTCTACCAGTGAGTCCTCGCATCTCTCTCTTGGTCGTTACTTGCGTCCATGTCTGAAACCTACGTGATAGCTACCACTACTGCATACAACACCCTCCTTCACACACTAGCCTAATGCGGAGGCTAACGAAAAAAAAGGTCACTAAGGGTTAGGCCCCACCAGTGATGGGTCTGTGGTCTGAGGGATCAGGCTCCGCGGCTGATAACTCCGTGCTCTTTTTTTTCGGCCAGGCCCAACCGCCATCTCCACCCGAATACAACGTTCGGGCATTATTGCTGTTTCTAGACTCAACGTTTCCCCAAATTCAGCTATAATGACCGTGTGTTGGATTGGGGTAAAGGCGGTAGTGACAGGTCTGCGCTAAGTTAATCTATTATCAACCTGCTAACGTCCAAGGTCACGGCACTAGGCACAGACATCACACACACACACACACACACACACACACACACACACACACACACACACACACACACACATACACACACACACACACACACACACACACACAAGTCATGCGTTCACGCCTGGGCATCATGCCTCGGCCCGCTTGGCTGCACTTGCACTGTGTCTCCCGAACGCATGACTTGTGTGTGTGTGTGTGCATGATGTCAGTGGCTAGCGCCATGAAACTTGGACGTTAGTTGATTGGTCCAAAAGACTGTAAGTGCATCATGAACATCCCCCATGCATTTCGAAAGTTTTTCGGTGGAGCGAGAGCCATAATTATCTTTTTCAAGACTAACCCTTCAAAACTTCTTCGAAAGTGCTTTGAAACTTCTCCGGACGTTCCCGACCACAGTTGTCAGCAACTGCAACATGCTTTTTTTGGAGTGCCCACTGAGACTGAGGATTGTGGAAACCTGGTGACGGAGCTCTGCAACGCTGCGCAGCAGTAGTGCCTGCTATCGCAGAAACAGTGACGGCGTTTGAAGCAGTACTTAGAAGCAGGCACAGCACAGGCAGCCCTGGAGATGCAGATGAGTCGCAGCAATAGCAGAATGACCGGCAAGAGAGAGTGCAAGGAGAAATCCGTAGTCCGAGCACAACAGGAGCGGAAGCTGGAAAATGGAAGCAACAGCATCGACAGCAACCCCAGGCAGGAGCAGCAGGACAGCGCTAACGGCACTCGTGGAAGCAACTGACACAGAAGCAGCAGTTGGCGCAGGAGCAGGAGCAGGAGCTGGAGCAGGAGCAGGAGCAGGAGCAGGAGCAGGGCCAGGAGCAGGAGTAGCTGCCGGTAGTATCAGCCGCAGGAACAACAGCAACATCTGCAGAACCTTAGACGTGTTGCGTATGTGTTTTTGACTTGTCCGTGAAATCGGAACCGGATTGAGGCTCCCCGGAATAGAAGGAGGTAGGCCCACGAGGGCCCGCTTTTCCTTGGAAAAAACGAAAAAAACAAAAAAACAAAAAAATAAAAAAAGCTGGCAGCAGGAGGTTGGTCACGGTAACAAACTTGCAGATTGAAAAACGGTGCCAAGAGAGAATTGATGCGCGCATGTTCTTGTGTAGCGGTCACAGAAGAAAAAAGAAAAAAGAAAGAAAAAAAGAGTGGATGATCATATGCTCAGCTTAGCAGAGAGCATCAGAAACATGTCTCTGTTTGAATAACCTTAGCTTACTTGTTCTTTAGAGCCTCTGTGGTGAATCAGGATTGAGGAACAGATGCCGGATCAACAACGGCTCCTGCCGTTTCTGCGACGGTGACCAATAACGTCGATTGGCTTGCCACCCCTCACGTCTGCTGATTTGCGGACTCCAATATCAGGATCAGGATATCCTGTGTGCACTGCACCGGTGATGTTGCTGTGAGTGCTTCCACATCGTATGGGTCCGGATGTGCTGTTGCTTCTGCAGCTCGCTGAGGGCCTGAATGATCTTCTGGGGCATCTTCTAGTTTGTGATCCTCGTCAGGCTCTGATTCCGCCGAGGCCGTTGCGTCCTCTGATAAGATGTTACCCCCCCCCTCCGAGTCGCCGTCCGATCCTCCGTCCGGGTGATGATGTCCATGATGATACAGTTCGGGTTCTTCATCACTCGGATACGCTTCACGCTTCCTCACTACGTAACTCTTAGACTCCAAGGCGTAGGGATCTTGCTGTTTCCAGGCGGAGTTGAAGTCACGGTCATGTCCACCTCGCATGGAACGGTTACCATGTCTGCCCTTGCCTGCTACCAAGTCCATGTTCTCCGATTCGCCAAGCAATGCAGCCTCCTCTTCTTCTTTGGTTGTAATGACTGAAGGCATGTCGTTACCTTTTGTAGGCTTCGGGCCGGAGTACCCATCCTCGCTCATCAGAACGTCGTCCGACTCCTCCAGGGGGTTCAATCTGTCCTGATCGTAATGATAAACAGTTCGTCGTTTTCCGCTGGGGTACCATGAGTCAGAGTTCAAGTTGTGCCCGGGGTGGTGACTGTCGAACCCATCACTAACCAGATCCGATTCGCCATGATTCTCTAAATCACTAACACCACTAGTTGGGATGTTTGGCACGACCGCTGCGCCGATACCAATGCCAGCTCTAAGTCCGAACTGTTGCCCTTGACTAGTTTCGGCAGGAAGGAGGAGCCCCGCTCTCTCCCCCTCTGAGAGTGTCTGATCATTCCCGGAGTCCTCATCGGTACCCATGCTTGTAAAGAAAGTCACTCTGTCATCAAATTCATCACCGTAGCTCGCATCGGTCTTGCGGCTGCGGCTACGAGATAGAGTGCGGTCCACCTTAGCCCGCGCCTCGTTCTCAGATATAGTCATTGCATCATGATATGATTGGAAACCTGGTAACCCTTGGTTACCACCTGTTGAACCGATATCTCGACCACCCTCATCATGTGCTAATACCTCTGCCTTCCTCGGGAAGCCACCCACTTCTCCATCTCCTCCTCTCTCTTCTCCTCCTCCCCCTCCTCTTCCTCCTGTAGCTACGCCTCTCACGCTTGAACCCGCTGAAAACATTCCCCCTCTCTTATGGTGAAGGCTAGACCCATAGCCACCCTCCGTGAACTGGTCATCAATTGCGTCACCTTCTTCAGTAGAATCCTCCTCTCTGCGGTAACCAACCTTAGGTGATTTCTTCTTCCCCCTCATAGCACCACCTCCGCTACTTCGTCTTATCGAGCCCAGTGAAGAATCCGATTCTGGCTTGCTTGCAACTCGCCTGTTCCGCTTTGTCTGCGATATCGACTTGGCCGATGCTCTCGACCTCAAGGATGGCGCCTTCGACCTCGTCACATCTTCGTCATCCTCGCTATCCATCGCCTCTCCCATGTTCCCCAGTGAGGCACGGGCCCGCGATAGATCATCGAATGAATCTGGAATTGAAACTCCCTCGCTTTCACTCCCCGCTGCTTCTCCTCGATTGCCTACCATCTCCTCCAGGACAGGAACATGATCCGACTTTCCTTCAGCCACACCCTCTTTTCGGCCACTTGGGCGAGTGTTTCCTTGTTTTCCATGCTTTGTAGACTGCTTCTCCATAGGTACCTCCTCACCATCTTCTTCTTCCTCCTCCTCCAGCCTGAGCATGCCCATCACACCCCATCCCATCGCGGTTTTCTTGTCATGTACACCCTTCTTCCCCTTGTCAAACTTCAAATCTACATCTTCATGTCCTTCTCCTCGCCTCAAGAGTCGGTCACCACCATCTCTCAGTGCATCTCCTTCTCCTTCTTCTCCCGACGCCACTCCCTCCTCTTCCTCTTCTTCTCCTACTTCTCCATCGTAATCATCAAACGATTTTTCATCGAACTCATCACCAAGCAAGTCCTCATCAAACTCATCGTCAACAAGCTCCTCTGAATAAAACTGTTCCCTGTCCGTTTCTTCATCCACCGGCAAATCCGATGCTTCATCAAGATCAGATAACTCCTCCTCCATGGACATTTCCTCCTCCTCCTCCTCGTCCTCCTCCTCGTCTTCTATCCCTCGGCCTCTTCTTTGCAGGGCGCTCCTCTGGACACCACTGAGAGTGGACTGTTTCTCCTTCGCCTGTGGGGTCTTGTGTCCTCTTCCTGACCTTGCCAGGTTTGTCGCTTCTGGAATTAGCGGCGTTCCTTTCGTGACGGATGGTGCTGGTGTTCCTTTCTTTACGACAGTGACCAAGGAAGATCCAAGCGATCGAAGAGACTCCATGTCAGCTGACTGAAGCGAAGAAGCCATGTTCTCGAGGGACAAGGCATCATTCTCGCTCCATTCGACGTTGCCGGTGCTGCCAGCGGGGGTTTCGTCGTCGCTCAGCGAAATTTGGCTTTCTCCGGCACTGGAACTGTGATAATGCTTCAAAGATCCGGCACCAAGTTGTTTTTCGTAGGTGTGGATTTTCTTTTCAAGCACCTTATTCACCTTCAACTTCTTATGTACATCTGCCTTGAGATGGGTGAGAGTGCTTTCGTCATGTTCCTGCCGTTCCTCTGCATCGCGAGCTAGTCGTTTCATTTCCATAAGAAGGGCAGCTTTCTCTTTCTGCAATTTCATTATCATCATCATCGCCTCCTCGGCAGCTCGAGCAGCTGCTGTTCGTTCGATCTCTAGCTCTTTCTTCAGACCCGAGACAACCGTCGGGTCGACAATGCCATTCCCTTTCTCCACAGCAGACAGCTCAGAATCCGATCCGCTTACGGCTTTTCCTTCTGCGTCCTTCAAAACTTCCTCTCCGGTATTTGGTTGCTCTTGCAATGAATCGTCGTTATCATTCTCAGGAGAAGCATTGGATTGCGCTTGCACTATCTCCTCCGACTGCGAAGGACCCTCGGGGACAACATCATCACTCTGTTCTCCTCGTGCAACCGCAGACGATGCCACATCTTCATCACCATGATCTTCTTCCCCCAAGGCAGGGGCAATCTCTACCCCTTTGTCGACCGCGATCTCACTTGCTGCGCTGACGACCAACGAGGACAAATCTACCTCCCTTGCATGCGACGGTTCCTCGCCACCTTCTCTTACGACCCTGCTAGCTGCCAGAAGCACTTCTAAACCACCACCATCATCTGCACCATAATACATTGCTTCCTCCAACCGCTGCCGCTGCATCATAAGAGACACCGGTGCCACATTGTTACTATCCGTATCGACTTTCGCCCCTTCAGGATCTAGAGATGTCAATGTCTGTGTCTCCTCTAAGTTTGTTGTTGACGTCATCTGGCTCTCAGGCAACAGCTCGCCAGCACTTGTTGCCTCTCCTGGCATCTGGGCTGCAGGAGGAGTAACAGCGTTTTCTGAGACCTCCTCCTGCTGCTGTTGCTGCTGTTGCTGCTGTTGCTGCTGTTGCTGCTGTTGCTCCTGCTCTTTCGAGGGGCGCTTCCTGATGAGGAGATTTCCGCTACGATCATGGGGTCGAGAAAATCTAGCTATGCCATCGGCAAGAGTAGGAGGAGGAGGAGGAGGGAGAAGAGAAATCGGGGCAAAGCGCTCAAAATCTTCATCCTCTCTCTCGACAAACGCCTCGTTGTCCGCTCGGAGGTCCCATTTGGTACCTCTAGGAGGTTTCTGACGCTTCATTCCGGGAGGAGCAGAATCAGCAGTGAGGCCTTCCGTTGGTTCTGGTATGCCTTCCGATTCCGTGTCTTCTTCGTCGAATCCCTCAGGCACGAAATCCATCACTTCTTCTTCCTCCTCTTCTCCTTTCCCTCGTCTTCCCCGCCCCTCCTGCAGCCGCTCCCCTTCGCTCGCCGTTGGGTCACTATCCACATCTACATCGAATTGTCTGGAAATCGCCTCAGGATACTTATCGCCATCCCCGAAACCAGCAACTGTTCCATCAGCTTCGCCGGCAAAACCCAATGACGTTCCAGGTACAGAATCAAGTCCAGGAATAGCTGTGGCAGAGCCTGGAGGGACCACTTTCGACGCTATTGCACCCCGTCTTTTGTAAACCAAACGTCCCGTGCTCTGCCTGAGCTGAGGTGGGCGTACAGGCTCATCTGCAGCAGTCCTTCCTGATAAACCCCATCCTCCCTTGGCTCTCCCCATGTCCCTTTTGGTAGCAGCCACAGCATACGCAGCAGAGCGCGCACCTGCGAGGCCTAATCTTGGAGCAGGTCGTGTGGCTCTGGTCCCACCCGGCATTTGAGTATCATCAGAACCCCGCCGCCTGGAACTACCAACCGTCTTCAGGTTCCTGACGATCCCAGGCCTGGGTTGAAGGCCAGAAGAAGATTTCATGTCATCAACTCCCTTTGACTCCCACCTTTCCTCCTCGTCACTTACAGCCTCGATTTTCTGAGCCATTTCACCAATGGGCAACGATCTGTCAACATTTCGTGCCGTCTCAACCGGCTGCGGAGCCTCCCATGATGGAGAAGACACAGCTACCACATGTTTCAATATCAGCAGGGAGGCTGACATCACAAGGGTCCGCAGGAAGAATGTTACAGAGATCAGCAGTTCATAGATAGCTGTGAAGACAGAAGGGACGGATATTGCGATTCGCGGGTCGCAGCGGCCGGTATGTTGGGTTAAGAATTCGGTAGCAGAAGAAACCAACTTGTCACGCTCAGCAAAGACCCAGGCAGAACTACCAACAATATCCCGAGAACTCTCCATCTCCACGCCTCTCTCGGCTAATCGAGCAGCCGATGCCATCCTCTCCACGTCAGCAATATGCCCAGAGAGCACCTCTCTCTCTCTCTCTCTCTCTCTCTCTCTCTCTCTCTCTCTCTCTCTCTCTCTCTCTTTCTAACACACACACACACACACACACACACACACACACACACACACACACGGGGTCTCACAGTATGCACAGGGAAGCAGACAAAGACACACAAATGTGTACACGCACAAAAGCACACCGAAGAGGAAGATCCCGCTGTGGTCCTCGTACTGCTACTCTTCTTTGCTCCTTGTTCACTGCTAAAGATCCTGCTTTTCCTCCTCCCCTTTATTGTTTTTCCTCCAGCTGTTGCTGGCGGGTTCGGATCAAAGAATGTTGATAACCTAGCCCCTGTGCTAACAAATTATCCCGTACTGACGAAACGACCTACGAACTCCAAACTTCCAAACACTGACTACCAAACCTGATGGCTAACAAACCAACCACCCTCGTAACTTCGGAACATACCAAACCCCGTCGGACGAGTTAGACCAAACCTGTCGATGTCAACTCGAAGTGGATGGAAGGAAGCACTCACAACAAGTTCCTCTATGATTAGAACTATAATTAGAACTAAGTATTTTCAATGACAAGAACCATCATCATCATCATCATCATGATCCCTGACTTAACTTAAGTTAGTCAAATGAACGCAAACACAGCGGGGGCCTTACAGCTACGAAACGAGCCCTAACTAATGGAACGAACCTGGTCCAGCAAACTCGCGGAATCTGTTAACATATGAATGAATGAAAACACAAGCAGCGCTCGTAGCGAGTTCACATACTATCTCCGGGAGGAGGCGCAGCTGCAGTATGCAGCTGTCTGCTCAGAAAGAGAGAAACTCGGAAGGAGATACCAATTGAAAGGAGCTACCTACGATTTTGCGCTGGGTGCTTTTTCACGACCGGTGCCAATGATGAAAACACCAAGTCGCTAACAACGAGTCGGACATACTATATGACGATAATCCTTGAAATTTGATTGAATAATGAGATACAATACGCTGCAATCCTGCAGTAGAACAGCTGCGGTCCTGAAGATCGCCGCCGAATGGAGTTCTTACGGAACTTACGATGACCGCCGTCTTGAAGATTGCCGAATTTGCCGAAACAGGAGGACAGAGAAATGATCCCAGATTCAAAGACTGAAGGTCGAAAGCTGTACACTGCTGATCGGTGTACCGGCACACTTAACTCAGCCTTAGGACGATTGCGTCTAGTGGTAAGGGGTTGCCACGCAAAGCCGAACGCGTTTCACCCACTTGCAACAGCTACAGCTAGAGGGCTTCCTACGGCTGTACCTACCTAGTACATGCTTAAACGCATAGTTGTTGTCTCGGACCTACGCCTGTATCATTATCCAGAGACATCCGTATATCAATGATGATACAGTCGTATGGACACTTTCAATCATACAGCTAATATGCCAGTATTCCCTGGAGTTTCTAACCTAAGTGCTGCTGCTGCTGCTGCTGGTACAGGATTTGAACCTGTGACCTTCAACTTAGAACCAACCTAGACGGGACATTTTCAGCCAAATAGCTGTCCCAGTCCCTGGAGTTTGTGATGAACACCTGACTGCTGCTGCTGCTTCTGTGTATTTCCCAGTTTAGTGGCCACTTAGACCTCTAACTCCCCTCCCCTACCCTGGCCCCCTTCTGCCCCCAAGCTGTCACAGCGGTCACAACAAGAGAACCTGAGAATCAGCGGCAGAGAAAAACTGCGTAAAATGCTTGTTTTCACAGATTTGCAGCTCATCTAAAGTTATAAACAACAACAACAAAAAAGCAAACTATCGGTGTTAACCAGACCCAATGCTGGTTTAAAGCGATCAAGACCTATATCTTCCCTTCCCTCCTCTGCTTCCCTTTTGCCCCCCAAGCTGTCACAGTGGTCACAACAAGAGACCTGCGAATCATCGGCGGAGAAAATCTGCGGAACGCTTGTTTAAGCACAAAAAAAAAAGAAGGTAAATTATCGGTGCTAACTAGACCCACAAAAATGGCTAAAAGGATAAAAAAGAAATATTCACAGGATACTGCAGAAACGTGAAAGTGCGCTACTCCAATTACACACGACAAGTTGGGATCTCATTCTCAGGCGTTCAAAACTGCACACGATCGTCAATGAATCTGAGCCTAATCTGCACCTCTTCCCTCGTGGATGCTTGTATGTCATTTACTATGATCCATACCTACCTGGTCGTCGTCATTTGTTACCTGCCAATCAGCAAGCATAAAAAAGCTGATCAAGTTAGGGATCTTCTACTAGCGGTACTAACCCCCCCACCTAACCAACAATTTAGGGTAGTCTATAGTACCCCACAGGGGAGCCACAAACCCATGGTTACCGCACAGGGGAGACGCAAACCCATGGTTATAGACTGAAGTATATCTAAAAGCATGAGTTCCTAAACGAAAGAATTTTTTGTAATGCCAATGTGTTTTGTTTTAAATCGCGTGTCAATAGCACACATGCATATATACAGTCATAAATATCTTCCATATATTAGAACTGCACTACACAGATCTGGAGTACTCCACAGCTTTCTAATGGAAGCGATCCAAGTCGTTGAAGTCGGTAGAAGGAGTACTGTGAGAGAAGGAAAAGAACAAAACTTAGAAGAAAATTGAGTCCCCAAACAAACGTCGTTACGACGAAACCACAAAGAAAGAAAACAGCTGCTCCATCCGAGGCTCACTGATGACAGGAGTACGGCTCATTCGAGACAGCATTTCCGAGATCCCATTCACAAACGCACACAGTATGACCGGACGAACAACCATTCGAGAGATCAAGCGACCAAGGGACGCGGAAAATGAGACGGAGAGAAGAGAGAGAGAGAAGGGGAGAGAGAGAGAGAGAGAGAGAGAGAGAGAGAGAGAGAGAGAGAGAGAGAGAGAGAGAGAGAGAGAGAGAGAGAGA